CCTTTTCAGACTAGGGGTGCATCTGCACTGTAGAAATAATGCAGTTGGAGCCATGGTAGTTAACTGCCATGGCTGCATCCTACAGAATCCTGGGATTTATAGTTTTGTGAGGCACCAGCAGTCTTTGGCAGAGAAGGCTCAAGACCTTGTAAAACTACAAATCCCAGGATTCCATAGGATGGAGCTACAGCACTTATAGTGGTGTCAAACTATAAGGTTTGTATAGCGCTTTGCATTGTTTTTAGTCTATTTTAAATGTTGATGTGTAATCTTTTTAACTTTTTAAAACTTTTTTTTAAAACTTTGTATCTGTATTGTAATGCTTTGTACTGTTTATAACTTGAACTGTTTTGGATTTTTGTTAGCTGCCTAGACTCCCTATACCAGGAGAAAAGAGGGATAAGCAATAAAATCAGCGTCAGCATGAACGTCAACATCTGCATTATTGCTACAAAGCAGATGCGCTCTTAGAGGGAACATCAATGCGGCAATACTTTGTTGCAGCCCCAAATTTTTCTATGCGCAAATGATGTAAAACTTAACGGATGCAGAACTGCTTGGAAGGGCAGAACAAGCTGCCCTGGTCCGAGGACCCTGAAGGAATTGCACGCTGGGAAGGTGAAAAGCCAAGATGGGAGGCCTCCTCTACCATTGTGCAGCCTAGAAGATCCTCTGCTGAATGTGCTCATGAAGGAGTGGTTTCAGCAGCGCTGCCTTTTGAGGCTGTGTTCTGCGCTGGAGGGCACCTGTCGCCATGAAAGGAGACGGGAGGCCCTTGGCTCGTGGCAGACAAGCGGCCAAACAGCTGCCAGGCCATCACAACCTTCTGTCACTGTCTGAGGAACATCTGATGGATATGGACAGGCTGAGTTTAAGTGCCTCCTGTTTGTTTAGTAGCACACACACACACACAGAACAACTGTTAATGACTAGATCGTGTCATGGGTGCAGGGCTGCTGCCTTGGACCTTGAATACCCTAAGACTTTCATTTGCTTACAGATGAGCAATAAAATGACTTCAGTGCTAAAACTTCCCATTGAGAGCTGGGCCAAGCCTGAAGCCCCTTTTATCCTTAAAATGGCTTTTACAAGCCGCTAACAGACTTGAAGACAAGGACTATGAAAGAACAAGACAAGATCCTAAAGTGAAAAGACATAAGAATGAATACTAAAGTTAGGATAGTCCAGGCCACAGTGTTCTCCATCACTATGTACGGATGTGAGAGCTGGACAGTGAAGTGGACAGAAAGAAAATCAGCTCGTTTTAAGATGTGGTGCTGAAGAAGAGAGTGCTGAGGATCCTGTGGACAGCCAAAAAGTCAAACAGATGGGTCCTTGTGCAGATCAAGCCTCAAATCTCTCTGGAAGCCAAGATGATCAAATGGAGGCTGTTGTAATTTGGCCACATCATGAGAAGCCAGGACTCATTGGAAAAGTAGAAGGATAGAAAGTAGGAAAGGTAGAAGGAAGTAGAAAGAGAGGAAGGCAGCAGGACAGATGGATAGACATAGGAGATTACTGTACGTCATTTCTGCACTAGGAGGAATGAGGGATCTAAAACTCAAAAAAGGATCCTATGGCATTGCTTCGTCACCAGGCAGTAGGCAGCCTGTATGCAACCGAGACTTCTCTTGGCTTCTTACGCAGCTATTCATAGACAGGAAAATCCTGTCTATGAAAAGCTGCAGGAGAAGCCCAGGTTGCATAAAAGTTGCATAGGGGCTTCCTACTGCCCAGCGTCGGAGCAATGCAATAAAATCCGTTTTTGAGTTTTAGATCCCGCATCCCTCCCGGTGAAGAAATGGTATGCGGTAATCTTCAGTGTCACAGAGGTCATGGGCTTGAACTTGCAGAACCATGAGCAGAGCAGTTGAGAATAGGGGGTCTTCCAGAAGTCTCATTCATAGGGTCACCATGAGCCAAGGCTGACTCAAAGGCAGT